TTCTATCACAGCAGGGAAGTCCCGGTCCCTGCACAAGAAAACGGAGGTGAAGAATTGGTTAAAGAGGTCCGCTTTCTCCTCTGACGCAACCACCAAATTGCCCAGCGTGTCCTGCAGGGGTCCCACATTACCCGGCACCTTCTTCATCCTCCCAATGTATTTGAAAAAGGACTTTTTGTTATCCTTAATCTTGGACGCTAGTCCGAGCTCCATGTCCGCCTTGGCCTTCCTAACAGCTCGCCTACAGGCCCGAGCTGAGTAGGTATACTCCTCTTTGGAGATTTCACCCCCCTTCCACCGGGCGTACGCCGCCTTTTTTCAGAGCCAGTTCTCTAGTTTCCTCCCTCTAACTGACAACAAGTGTTTTTGGAGATAATATATAATCAAGGCTCCCTGTTAGCAGTTACATTCTCTGATGTCTAGAAAGGAACGGTGCTGTTAGCAGTGCGGTTCCATAATGCTGGGCTTAGGAGAGGTTTTGTGTGCAACAAACATTTTCTATGACACATGCACAGCCTTGGCCCTATTCTGCTTTCAGCAACACTCATGTCAATCCAGAGCAGCGCCATTGGCTTCAGTGGAAGGCCGGATGGAAATGCACTTTATGGCTTCATTGGAGTCAGGCTGTTTATGTGTAAATATTCATATTAGCAGAGGGTCAAAGGGACATAGCTGGTGTTCAAGCACTGTGGTGCTCGGTACTGTCCACGCAGAGGAGAAAGTTGATGCTTGATGCGGGGCACTTGGGTTGCACCATCTGAGAGCAGAATCTCCTCTACTGAGTCTGACGAAAGCCCTGGTATTTGAACGCACCCCCTTCATGTCCATCACCGGAGGACTTAACTAAACCTTGTGCTGGGAAGCAGCATGTGGATTGCAAATGGTTTAGAGCGGTCCTTCAGGCTTCCCCTGCGTTAGGCTGCAAGTTGCTTTGGACTCTTTGCTTGGGATCCTTTGGAATAGGAATCCAGATGGCAGAAGCGGTATGATGATTGTTAATTACTTCTAATATGTAGCACTTAGATATTGGCCCCATTGTAATAGACCCAATAAAAAAATCAAGTGAAAAGGGAGAAACTAAATTCCCACATATTTTCATGCTTTCGGCTTAAATCTGGACCGCGTGAAATTACCACAATGAGATGTGTCCACACATTCATTAATGTGCCTTTGTTACAGCACATTAAGTTTAGTACCTCTAATACGAGGTATTAGATAAAAGCGCAGTAGCTTTGCTTATGTGCAGTAGCAAAGGCAAACCTTTTTTTGTGACATTAATGTGCAGTAGACTAATTCTGTTGTGCATTAGCTTGGTTTTTGCCAAGTTGCGCTAATGCACAGTAGAGCAGTCTACTGCGTTAGTATGGTTTTTGCCGTGATGCGCTAACACGCAGTAGAGCAGTCTATTGCACATTAAGGCGAATTGTGCAGAGACACCCTGAATGACAGGAATAAAACCACGAGATAAAGGCCCAAGTGGCTAATATGTCACGCCACTTCCCAGATCCCAGCCTGTTAATTGAGTAATTCCTAACAAATCTTCAGTAGCGTGCACTAATCTTTGCACTTCTCCCCTCCTCCTCCCCACCAACTTAGATCCTTGCCAGAGACCTTGTTCCTTTAAAAATGCCATCTATATAACCTCAGAAATATTCGGCACAGAAAAAGGAAAAAGGAACTTGACATTAGTTGAGCTTGAAAGGCTTGGCGCTGTGAAAAGTGACTGACGTGTGAAAAGAGGCTACAATTAGTTCTTTCCCCAAGCACTCTTCCATTCAGTCCAGGGTCACTCCTTCAGCAGGCTGAGGCTTTGAGCATAATGTGTTGTGACAGTTTGAGATGATGAAGAATAATTCTTGTATTCAGAGTTGCTGCTGCTTCCCCACTACCCTGACACATCAGGCTGGCTGTCACTGTATCGTTTATCCAGGCTGCCATACTGTAGAGGAGTTTGTGCAATTCTCAGTAGGTAAAGGAAAGGGTCGGCTCTTTCAGCAAATGATTTTTGAGGATATTTTGAAACTGTGCTTAACAGCATGCTGTAGGGGAAGTCCAACAGAGAGAAAGGAAAAGCCATTAGAAGAAATAATGCACTAGAGATGAGATTTTTGAGTAGACATAAAGGAGATACCATGGCTTCAAGTGGACCACTACGGAGAAAGCACAACTAAGAAAGGCAGCATAATTTATGAGTGTTCCGGGCAAAAGAGGGCTATATAGATTTTCTTCAGGCATTGAATTAATGTGCCATATAAAATGGCTTCACATTTAGGCTTGGCAAGGTTTCTACCTTTCTAGATTTGATGTAGTCCTCTGACAGATCCTGCAGCTTTTTGGAACTGAATAGACAGCACCCTGGCTTGGACTGGTGCCTGGGGTAGCTTGTTACGTGCTGACACGCACCTGAGGACCGCAGCGGGGACCCCCGTCCAATTTGTCACCACGCGTAATAAAACAGAGGCTTCGGCTTGTGCTCAGATGAGACAGGACGGCGAGGATCAAGTGCACGTGGTAGGTAAGAACGGAAGGGGATCTGTTCTGGTTTCTCCCAGCCGGCTCCCGAGTGCTGCACAATCTAGCGTGATGGGAACAGAGCGCAGACGCTGGTTTTCAGCACTGGCAGGGATGCAGAAAACAAGGTGGAATTGGAAGGGAGCTAATGGAACGTGCATTTCCGTGCTTTTGATTGCCCGTTATCTGACAGCACTTCAAGTGCACCCGGTCCGGTCTGGTCCAGGCATCTCTTGGACTCGAGGGAGGGATGTGTGCCCGCTGCCACCCCCGTGCGCCTAAACATGAACTGCTCCCTACAGCTTTTCTTCAGCCTCGGTGGGGTCCCATCTCCTCTGCCACAGCACATCCCAGCACGGCTGTTACCGACCCCTGGTTTTCCGCCAGCCGCACTCATTCAGTGGAGCAGCTAGGGACTGCCAACAAGAGGGGCATGACGGTACCCGGTGAAGGCAGCAGGGGCAATACTGCACACAGAAGGTCATTATCTCTGCATTCCAGTGGGAATGCCCACCCGGTCCTGCAAGCAGGCAGGCGCCCTCAGCCCTCCCAGGGCCAGGCACTAAAAGATGTGGTGTGAATGTAATGGCAGTGGGAGGTCACTGGGACCAGTGATTTTGGAGGCCCAGGTGGAGATGCCCTGGTTTCCTGAGAGTGCAGAGCACCTGCTCTCTGCAAGTCAGGCCTCTTCTAAATGTCTCAGGTTGGGGCATCCAGAAGCTTGAGGCCCTCCAAACCAAGGCTAGATTGACAAAAGCAACAGCCCCTTTATTGTCTCTGCTCTGGGGGTGGGAACATACTCCCTGCACCAGTATACCCAGTCGTCTGGACCCAGTGCCATAGGTACGCAGAGGGCTTTATGAGCACAAGGCTCCTAGGGGCTTACCTTTTGTTATAAACACCCCCGGTGCAATGCCCAGTGAGAAGCTGGCAGAAGTACCTTGGTGGAGGGTGTACAGATATGACCCACGGTCTCAACTGAATTCTCTCCCACATCCTGCTACTTCAGCGTGGCTGCTGTCCTTCAGGTCCAGATCTGGCCGCCAGCATTTCGGGTCAGCCCCAGAACGGCTGCAGGAGTATCTGCATGAGGAGAGGAGCAAATGTGACATTGTGGACCAAGAACGGGCCCTGGTTCTCATCTGAACGTTCGCAGCCAAGTCAACAGCACGAACCAGGCCCCAGCTCTGGCCATTTCCTGCAGCACGCACTTATGCCTGCTTCGTCCTTTGGATTTTTTTCAGGGGAAGCTAATGCTCTGAGTCCTGGACTTGGAGATTTGTATTCCTGATTGTGATCTTGTCTACATTGGTGCAACTCCACTGACTTACATCGAGTTAATCCTGCCCTGCACTAGCACGGGCTTTGAATCCATCCCAGAGCCACAGCAGCACACGGGTGCAGACCTGCGTAGGAGCTGGTGCAGAATCGCTGTTGACATCTGCATCTCTCTTCCCTTATTTTTGGAGCCCCACGGACCCTGGTTCCTTTTAAACCTGATAGACGTGCAGCACCAGAGACTACTTCTGTTGCTGTTTCTTTCTCCAGTGCAGTTCGGTTTGCATGTGCTCGAGCCCCTGGTAATGCTGCGATTCCCATCAACTCTGGCGTTGCCTGTTATGGTTAGCATCAAAAGTGAATACAGGCTGCTCCTGAGCTCCCCTGAACTAGCCTCCTCCTCATGACTTCAGCAGATGTTCCTGCTCTTATTTTTTTTTCATTTTTGAAGCCAATCATAACGTTGCGAGTTGTGTCCCTCTGGGACGGGGGCAGGTTTCAGTATTAACATTTCCACTATTAGCACTTATTTGTATTTGTGTTTGTTTTTCACGGGCTTTTTAATGCCACTGGGAGCCATTACGGGGACAAACTCATGCGAGCACTGGTCTTCTCACAGTATTTCACTTCCTCCATGGTGGAAATGCTCTGAGGAGAGCAGGTCTCATGTTATTTTGACCCCATAAATGGCTCCCGGCGGTCCCCTTCTTCCTTCTCCCACCCACTCCCTTCCCCCCAGATCAAATATTTAGGTTTCTGCAGGGCCTGACGTCTCAACCCTACTTATCTTGCCTCCACAGAAGCAGATGACAGTTACCACGAAGCAAAATAGCCTCCAAGTCTGTGGAGCAGAATGGGTTTTATGCGATACACAATTTGTTGGCTACTGTACAAGCTCATTAAAGTGTAGCATAAGAGGTTGTTTTACTGATACATTTAAGGAAGTTAATACATCTCGACAGTGAATGCATAGGGAAATAGAGATGCAATAACCCTCAGACAGACTGGGGCCAACTCCATTCCTGGCGTAACTCCACCGAAGTCAACAGCACTACTCCAGGGATGGATATAACCTCCTCTGTTGGGGCAGTGCTAAGCCTCTGACCTCATGCAACTACCATAAGCGAGGACAATTCAAGCCAAGGCTGCCATTCAGCTTCCTTATGCAGGTGAATTCCTTTGTGGGCTTCATTTTTAAGTGAACTTGATCCCTCCCGGTCAGGAAGGAGGAAACCTTGCTTTACGGCCTGTGCTGTCCCTGCTCCACAGGACAGGGAGGGCTGCCTCGAGGGCTGAGAATCTGGGCACGATGATGATGATGATAATGGCAGCAATAATGCAAATAATAATAATGCTAATGATAACAGCAATAATGATGATGATGATGATTTCCAAAGATTCGAGAGCATCTTAACAAGGTCGGCAAGTAAAACTATCCCCATTTTACAGACTGGGAAGCAGACAGAGCAAGATTAAGACTTGCCGAGATTCACATGGGAAGTCAGTTGCAGAGTCCGGTCTCTCGATCCCCAGGCCATTCGCCTGCCCAATAAACATGACGCGTTCCTCGACATTTGATGCGACTATTTACAGCCTGCTCGCAGCGTGCATTTCACATATAAGGTAGTGATGACTTTTGCACAGTGTCAACATGGTCAGGACTTGAATGAGCCATCTAGTGGCAAAAGGCTCATTATCCCTTGAGTATTTCATGCTCCCAATGTGACAGAAGTTTGCGATCCCTGAATAGTTCTGGATATGGAAATGCCCGTAGACGTCCAGTTGCCGTCTGTGCCTTGGCTGACAGCAGAGGCTGGTACCTGCTCCTTTGCCATCTAGTGGAGAGGTACAGGAACAGCCACCTACTGTGGAGCTGCCCCAGGACAGCTGCACATCTGTCCCTTCCTGATCCAGATGTGACTTACAAAACCAGTGCACAGGTGTTTGTTGAAGACCGAGGTGTTTTTTCACTCCCTCCTTAATGCAATGAGCAACGCAGACAGTTTCCCCACAGAGAGAGCTTGGTTTTTTTTTTTAAGCAACCTGATATCGTTGTGCAACGAAGAGGTTCGCCTCTGTTTCCCGTTTCGCAGCATCCCACAAATACACATAGCTGAATGGTTTTCAAAGACATCGAGCCCCTGCGATTCCCGTGGCGGGGGCGTAGATGCGCAGACCTGAGTCTTAAACCCAAAACTGCACTGTAGGATGATACGCCTCTCGCTGAGGAATGGCAAATGTGCAGGCCCTGTTACCGCACAGGCCGCAGTCATGCAAACCTCAGCCAGACTCTCCCGTAGTTGTGCACTCTTCACCCCAGCCGGGAGCCAGCGCTGTATTGTTCAGCACATGGGCTTTATGGGGACAGAAATGGTCTTTGGGAATCCGTAGCATTAAGGAAAAATAAATGCCTCTCCTCTCTCTCCTTCTTTTGTTACTGAAAATGCAACATTTGCCTGAAAATCAATTATGATCCAGAGGGAGAGGGAGAGAAAGAGAGGGCGAGGTAACCTCATAAGGAGTTCAACCGTCTTAATGATGTTTGATTGGAGCCTACCCGTGGTCTATCTTTCTGGTGATGGCTACACAGTGAGTGAAAGCTCTGACGTGAGACGTTTAACCAAAGCCAGCTGTGCGCGAGGGGAGATAAAAGCACAAAATCAGACAGGATAAGCACAGTATTAGTGTGGGATACGCCACTCATTTCTGATTTAAATTACTGTTTTTACTTCCTGAACTCATGGGAGAATAAGGATGTGAAGGAAAACGAAGAGGTTTATACATGTACATTCCTTTAACAAAATACTGGCAAGAAATCATGATTAATACAGCTGAGGTCATTATCGTTGCTTCTTATGGGTGTACTGACTTCCTGGGGATTTGCTTTTTTGTGAAACCAACCCAGATTATCTCCATTGTGAATTACTTGCGTGATCAAGTATTAAATTCACCACCTCTTTCTTGATGAAGTGTAAATTCAAACGGATCAGTTATCCCATCAGTGGACACACAAGTCACATGCGTGCTAGTGGGACCTGCACACTCGCTACTTCAATGGGATAGTTTGGGTTTAAATGAAGGTGAGACTTAACTTTCTGCGCCAAGATTTGTCCTTATCTCCGTGTCCCGCTGCAGCAAAGGGACAGTCGGACATTTATAAATGAGCTGAAATCCCAAGATGAGATTGAAGCCCAGGAATGGCAAAGGTGCAGTAAAATTTGGCAGGGAACAACGCTTGGAGCCATTCATCCAAATCCTGAAGTCCATTAGTCACTTCCTAATCAGCGCACTCGAGCAGCATTCCCACTGAAGTCAACAGGGAAATCTGTCTGTCTGCTCCATGCGTTCGCTGAGCATCTTGGAGCAGTCTCTTAATCACGGCCAATGGCTTATACACAGACCCGGGATTTCTTTCTTCTCTTCCTTTCCTCTCCCAAAAGAATTCGTAGGGACTTCACATCACTGGTCTTATTCTTTGCTTTTATCCCTCCTGCTTGAAAGGGAGGACTGAGCAGGCCTTGTGAGGAGCACAGTTTTGCAGCGGTCTCCCGGTGAGCACCGGGGAGAGGGCGTCTGCACTGGATGTGGGGCCCTGCCTCGTATCACTGCTGCGTGCCGACGCTGAGTGCTGGAGAGCGTGATGCTGTCCAGCGGCGTGGCCACTGAGTCAACTGTTGGGTTCAAGTGGCTCGCGGAGAGCTGCAGTTAGAAATGATATTGTGCACGCACACGAGAATACCAGTGTCTCGAGATTAGGAAGCAACAAAGGCTTTGGGAGGTCAGCCGGGGGTGGAAGGGGGGAGGCTACGACTTATCAGCGTGCGTGACGGGTGAGAGGGGAATAATCCCAAATGCTAGTAGTAGCCTTAGAGTCCCGAGCTTGTGCACAGCCTCATCCAGGCCTCTGTGGTCGATACAGCTTCATCACCTTTCTTTCACGGCCCGTTTCTACGTTCCTCTCCAACAGCCTCATCCGAGGAGCTCCCAAGCCGTGGGGATGCTCCCATCAGGGTACGGAGCACAAAGGCGGGGAGCTACCGTGTCAAACTGCGTTGGCCAAGCACAGACGTTGTGGGTCACCGTTAGCAAGCGTCACAACACGGCTCCTTTTCTAGCCCTGTCATCTAAGCAAGCGAGGCTATTTCATCGCTCATCAGCCAGCCTTTTATCCTTCTGCTCAGCTCCACCTCGCGACTCCGAGCTTTGGCATCTTGGCACATCCTGCAAATTGCT